ACTACAAAGCTACAGTCATCAAGACATTATGGCACTGGCACAAAAACAGAAATATAGATCAATGGAACAGGATAGAAAGCCCAGAGATAAACCCATGCTCATTTGGTCAACTTACTCTTAGTAAAGGAGGCAAGAATATCCAATGGAGAAAAGACAGCCTCTTCATTAAGTGATGCTGGGAAAACTGGACAGCTACAGGGAAAAGAATGAAATTAGAACCCTCCCTGACACCATACACACAAAAAAAACTCAAAATGGATTAAAGACCTCAGTGTAATGTCAGACATTATAAAACTCTTAGAGGAAAACATAGGCAGAACACTCTATGACATAAATCACAGCAAGATCCTTTGACCCACCTCCTCGAGAAACAGAACTAAAAACAGAAAGAAACAAATGGGACCAATGAAACTTAAAACCTTTTGCACAGCAAAGGAGACCATAAACAAGACTAAAAGACAACACTCAGCATGGGAGAAAATATTTGAAAATGAAGCAACTGACAAAGGATTAATCTCCAAAATTTACAAGCAGCTCATGCAGCTCAATATCAAAAAAAAAAAAAAAAAAAGAACAAAACCACCTAAACTATAAATGGACAGAAGACCCAAATAAACATTTCTCCTAAGGAGATATACAGATTGCCAACAAACACTTGAAAAAATGCTCAACATCGTTAATCATTAGAGAAATGCAAATCAAAACTACAATGATATATGAGCTCACACCAGTCAGAATGGCCATCATCAAAAAATCTACAAACAGTAAAACAGTAAATGCTGTAGTGGGTGTGGAGAAAAGGGAATCCTGTTGCACTGTTGGTGAGAATATAAATTGATACAGCCACTATGGAGAACAGTATGGAGGTTCCTTAAAAAACTAAAAATAGAACTACCATGTTACCCAGCAATCCCACTAGTGGGCATATACCCTGAGAAAACCATAATTCAAAAAAAGTCATGTACCACAATGTTCATTGCAGCTCTATTTACAATAGCCAGGACATGGAGGCAACCTAAGTGTCCATCAACAGATGAATGGATAAAGAAGATGTGACACATATGTACAATGGAATATTGCTCAGCCGTAAAAAGAAGCGAAATTGTGTTATTTGTAGTGAAATGGATGGACCTAGAATCTGTCATACAGAGTGAAGTGTAAGTCAGAAACAGAAAAACAAATACCATATGCTAACACATATATATGGTATCTAAAAAAACCAACATGGTCTGAAGTACCTAGAAGTAGGACAGGAATAAACTTTCAGACATAGAGAATGGACTTGAGAACATGGGAAAGGGGAAGGGTAAGCTGGGACAAAGTGAGAGAGTGGCATGTACGTATATATACACTACCAAATGTAAAATAGATAGCTAGTGGGAAGCATACACATAGCACAGGGAGATCATCTTGGTGCTTTGTGACCACCTAGAATTATGGGATATGGAGGATGGGAGGGAGATGCAAGAGGGAGGAAATATGGTGATATATGTATATGTATAGCTGATTCACTTCCTTACAAAACAGAAACTAACACACCACTGTAAAGCAATTATATTCCAATAAAGCTGTTTTTAAAAAAAAGAACTTATGGAATATTTATTTTACCCCATAACTTCGTGTAGATTCTTTTAAGATACTTGAAAGATTGACACTATTTCTATATATATTTAATTCCCACAGCTCCAATTGATTTTGGCTAAATAGTAGCAGCCCGTTTGGGTAAATCTAGAGCCCTTCTTGGGCTGAGGGCCCAGTTTTGCTAACAGTGCACATTCTGGGAATACTGTGAGCAATTCTGTTTATCTAAGAGTTCAGCCTCATGCTTGACTTTGCAGGTGCAGCTGTACATTTCAGGTGATTTACAGAGTGGAAGCACACCAAATCTGAAATTATAATGGAGTTCATGCTCACAGCATCTTTTGTTAGATGCTCTGGTTTTATGATTTTGGGTTGATGCCACCACATTTTTTTCCAAGTGCAGTAAAAAATGATGCCATTCAAGCTGAAAAGCTTAACAACCACTTTACTTTTATTGAATCTGTAGCTAATGTACTGAAATAGCAGGGGTTTTGCTGCAAGTATAATTTTGGATTTTGTCTGTGCATCTCTTTATGCCTTAAAAATGGGTTTGCATTGAGGATAACTGAGTTACCTAAAAGATCTAATGATAAAGAAGCAGCACATGATCTTATTGTGCTGACAGATGCCCACCTAGAACCAGTGAGAAGGAAACACTGGTTTAGAGATTATGGGGATTGTGAAACCATCTCCTAAAAACCATCATGCAAGACTAACTGTAGATTTAGGCAGTTGCTTAACCTTTGCAGGTTTCACTTTTCTTATCAATAATTTGATAGAGTTTGTGTTGATGACTTTCAGTTTCCTTCAAAGTCCAGCAGTGTACTCTTAAGGAAACTTTCATGCTTAATTTATTTTTTTCTTTATTTGTTGATTTGACACTGAATGTTTTCCTAAGAACTTTTCCCCAAAGTGATGTTATCTTCCTGGCATATGGAGAATTAAGCACAGGTTTTTTTTTAAATTATTATTTCTATTTATGTTACAGTTCTGATTACAATAAAAATTACAATTTTTGATCCCATTTGCTAATCACATAAGAAACAGTCTCTATATCTGTAGAAGCAAAGGGAACAAGGGAAAGCACTACTTTCTTGATTGTGGAGTCTTAATATAAGTCAGTATTACTTAAGGTTGAATCATACTATATGTATGATAAAGTCCCAAGGAAACCTCATTTCTTCTAATCCTATTTACATTTAGTTAATAATTTTGAACACTTACTATCTCTTACACATTATCCTAGGAAATTATACGTGCATTGTTGAATATTATCATCAAAACCGCCTTACTTAAGGTCACAAGTAAGAAGATTCTAACTCTGATCTTGTAATTCCAAACTTAGCAGTCTTTCATAATACCTTTTCTATTAAATCCTGCTTCTTACTACTACTCAGCACAAACTGGAGGTACCATTCAACCTAGATTCCTACCATAATCTTAGCTTTATTCCATCCTCATAATCATCTATGCTTTTTGGAATTGTTTGTTGTCATTCTGTCCTAGGCTATGCAAACTTTACATTTACATTAACATTCAAATGATGTTCCAATCCTCATCAGGAACTCTTAATAATAATTACATCAGATTTTACCAATTCCCTTTTCTGAATATTTTTAGTGAATTTTGTCTGCATCACTTTTGGAGGCAATTTTATGCTCTCTTATATTATTATTTATTAAATTAGTGTTTGCTTATAACCTCCTTTTTGTAAAAAAAACATATTTCTCTGGCCACACATAAGATTTAAAATAATTATTGTTTAACCCATCCATTCGTTCAATAAAACTTTTAACGTTCTTTGCTCTGAAACATGCAAATACAATAAAGTATTCTTAGTACTTTGGAAATTCAAAGAGTAAGATAGGGTTACAGACACTCAAACAAATAAATTAAAATATTACAATAGGAGGAGCTTCAAGATGGTGGAAGAGTAAGAGGTGTAGGTTACCTTCCTCCCCACAAATACATCAGAAACACATCTACATGTGGAACAACTCCTACAGAACACCTACTGAAGGCTAGCAGAAGACCTCAGAGCTCCCAAATGGCAAGAAACTCCCCACGTACCTGGGCAGGGCAAAAGAAAAAGGAAAAAACAGGGATGAAAGAATAAACACATAAATCTTAAAAAGAGTCATGATACAGCTGAAGTGGCAGTCATCTTTTAATCATGAAGTAACAAGCACAATAATCCAAATCCAAATCAATAAGCATGGTAGAAATAAAGGAATGAAAAGCTTGGGTCCAGAGGGATGTTGATAAACCACTTTTTGAGGGCAAAAAGTCATGATTTGTATTGTTTATCAATTTTAATGGTGTAAATATTCCTATTATCACTGAATTGAAATTACCAATCACTGAACATGTAACACACCACAGCCTGGGTACCTGATGTCAAAAATTGAACTACTGAGCCTGCTCTAGACTATCTACTTTAAGATATCTCTATTTATTTGAAAAATATTTATTGAACATCTACTACATTCCAAAAGTTATTCAAGGCATTTGGAATACATCAGTGTGAAAAACAGATGAAAATATCTCTGCCTTCATGGAGGTGAGATTCTAGAAGAAAGGGAAGGATAATCAATGATAAGCATAATACACAACTGAATTACATAATATTTTAGAAGTTGATAAGTACTATTTTAAGAAGAAACAGTAGATCACAGAAAGGAGACAAAGAGAGAGAGTCTAGTGGCCAGAAGAGGTAAATTGCAGTAATAAATAAGATGACTCAGATAAGATGCATTGAGACAGTGACATTTGACCAAAGATTTGAAAGAGAAGAAAGATTCAGCCAAGCAGATATATGGGACAAGAGTATTCCAGGCAGAGAGAATTGTTAGAGCAAAGGTTTTTGGTCAGAAGCCTGGGAGGCCTGATTGAGGAGTCACCAGGAGCAAGATGAGGGAGAGGAGAGGGAGAGTAAACATTTTTCCCAAGTGTTTACCCATTTAATATATTTGTTCTTCTAAACACTGTGAGGCAGGATGAGAGCTTTAAAGGTGGAGCATAGAGGACTTAGGCACAGATCGCACATCCCACAATCATATTGCTAGAATACTTTGAAGGAAGAGCTCTGAAATCACAGCCCCCACTGCCCTGATGAACAATTTACAGGACAGGGTGTGTCAGGAGGAGAAATGCCCATTGCGACCAAGGGGAAGCCTTTGTGAGAGGACTATTTCAGGATGTTCCCCATCAGCCAAGCACACCCCTGATCCTGTGCTCATAATCAATCCAGAGACTGTGAAATGGTCAAGTGGGGATTCGTCTCTTCCACCTCTGTCAGCAGCATCTTAATTTCCACATCATATGAAGATTTATTCTGGCCAAGCATCTGCAAGTCACATTCCAGACTGATCAGGGCTTCACACAGCACCACGGTCCAAGCTAATCCATTCCAGGTTCATTCATCTCAGTGATTTGCAGACAGTGAAAGCCAAGGCCAGGTCCTCACAATAGGCAGAGGTGAGCTCACACATTTCTGACCCAAGATTCTCTAATTTACACTTAGGATGCTTCAAAGCTTCACATAACTCTTTGACACCAGCATCATATATCTTATTGTTCCCTAGTTTCAGAGTTTTTAGGTTTTCACTGTGAATAAGAATAGTAGCAAGGTCCATACAGCAAACAGAAGTGAAGTAACAACCCATCAACCACAACTCCTGTAGTTTGCAGTTTGGGTGCCTCAATGATTCACATAGAGTTATCACTCCATCAACTTCCAGGAAATTTAAGGTAATAGGTCAGAGAGGACTTTTAGGTTATGAGTTGTTAGGTCATCAACCATCATTGCTGAAATAACTGAAGAAAATTACTGATCCATATCTGGGACATAGATTGATATTTATGAATGCCTGACCTCATACTCTTTGACAATCCTTAAATGCTAACTCATGCTCTGTGAGATCAATTTTGCCTTAGGACTTAAAATATTCCACAAGAAAACATTTTCTCCTTAAATGATGATTAGAGGGCTTCCCTTGTGGCGCAGTGGTTAAGAATCTGCCTGTCAATGCAGGGGACACGGGTTTGAGCCCTGGCCCAGGCAGATCCCACATGCCGCAGAGCAGCTAAGTCTGTGCGCCACAACTACTGAAGTCTGCGTGCCGCGCTCTGCAATAAGAGAAGGCACTGCAATGAGAAGCCCGCGCACCGCAACGAAGACCCAACGCAGCCAAAAAAATAAAAATTAAAAATAAATAAATAAAATAAATTTAAAAAAAATGATGATTAGAGCTAAAGCTATAAAAATCTTATATATTTGCCAATTTGTTATAAAAGAAAACATACACTCTAAAATTTTATCTTATTTGACAGATAGCAAAATCATATGAGATACTTTATAAAGTTTCCTTTAAAACCAAAAAACAATGGAATGTTACTCAGCCATAAAAAGAAACAAAATTGAGTTATTTGTAGTGAGGTGGATGGACCTAGAGTCTGTCATACACAGTGAAGAAATTCAGAAAAAGAAAAACAAATACTGTATGCTAACACATATATATGGAATCTAAAAAAAAAAAAAAAAAAAAAAAAGCTTCTGAAGGCCCTAGGGACAGGACAGGAATAAAAACACAGACATAGAGTATAGACTTGAGGACATGGGGAGGGGGAAGGGTAAGCTGAGACGAAGTGAGAGAGTGGCATTGACAAATATCCACTACCAGATGTAAAATAGATAGCTAGTGGGAGGCAGCTGCATAGCACAGGGAGATCAGCTTGGAGCTTTGTGACCACCTAGAGGGGTCGGATAGGGAGGGTGGGAGGGAAATGCAAGAGGGAGAGTATATGGGGTTATATGTATACATATAGCTGATTCACTTTTTTATACAGCAGCAACTGACACAACGAAGTAAAACAATTATACCTCAATAAAGATGTTAAAAAAAACACAACATTCTGCAAATAGATTATTGTTAGAGAAAAACAAAATTCATTTATCCTAGTCTCTTCTTTTGCTCTCCGCACTGTTTAGTGAAACCACAAAAAAACATTAAAAAATCAGATCATTTTAAATCAACATTAAAATTAAAACCAGCAAATAATAACATCAGTATGCCAAAATGTAAAAAAAAAAAAAAAGTTCTGAAAACATATAATGTGGATAAATCTAAAAAGTGAATCTGAGGGCATTAACTTTGAAGAAGAGATATCATCCTGCTGTTGGCATATGTGGGTTCTGTGTGAGGTTAAGAGACCTTGATAACAAGGTCCCCAACTGGGATATGGAGATTCAAGAGAAAGCACAAATAATAAAAAAATAGAGAGAGAGATAGAGAGAAAGCACAAATAATGCTGCTGTTGAAGGGTGAGAATAAATAGTAGATTTAGATAAAGACGTTTCTGGAATTTTTTAAAGTGGGAAATTGAAATAAACAATTCATAGAAGAACTACAGTTGGTTACTCTGGTAATCATTCAATTACTCTGATAATCAAAGAAATAAATTAAGAAAAAATGAGGTTTTTATATATTTAAATTAATATTACATTGGGTATATACCCAATATAGTTGAAGTGCAGGTTAAGAGGTCTCATGTAAATATTGCAATAGGAACACATCAATGAGAAATATTAAGCCACATGTAGCAAAAGCATTATCAGTACACCTGGAATTTATCTCAGAAATTTGATTTCTAGGAATTTCCATTAAAAGGTTAATATTGCTTCATGTAATTTGTGTAAAAGTGTCCCTTTAATAGATAAAAATAGGAAATGACCTAAGTGTTTAATATAAGTTAATACTTAAATTACTACCTATTTATCAATAAAGTATTTTATTTGCCATTTAGAGCATATGTATGAAATGATTTGTGAAAATGTCCTTGTATATCATTAAGTTGAATGTGTTTTAAACCTGCATAGTGTTTTTTAAAAAAACATATGTCTATAATCAAAATATTAAATATATACATATGGGTGAAATAAAGTTTATACAATGATACAGCAAATTTAGAATTGGTCATTGCATTATTTTTCCTTCTTTGCTTTCTTGCTTTTCTCTTTCCCCTCCCAAGTTTTGAAAAATAAACATACATGTCTTCTATTCTTAAAAAAACTCATTAAAACATGGGGCTTCCCTGGTGGTGCAGTGGTTGAGAGTCCACCTGCTGATGCAGGGGACACGGGTCCGTGCCCTGGTCCAAGAAGATCCCACATGTCGCGGAGCAGCTAGGCCCATGAGCCATGGCAGCTGAGCCTGCGCGTCCGGAGCCTGTGCTCCACAACGGGAGAGGCTGCAACAGTGAGAGGCCCACGTACTACAAAAAAAAATAAAACAAAAGAAAAATTTACAGCAAAAGATCTTCAAAATTCTTGTTAACAAAGTATGTTTCTCTTACTGCTCCAATATATAAATGTTTCCATTACCCTTTCTGTTTGAAACACATTTATTTACAAATTTATCAATATAATATACATAGAAATACATAATTTTTATTCATATATTCATATTAGTGTATTCATAATGAAATATTTGAATCTAGTGGACAACTTCTGGGAGTTCAAAAGTTCAAAAATTTTGCCTTTTGTAACCTCTAGGCAAAAGGTTACAATTATTGGTTTTCCAAGGCAGAAAACCTGGCATATTCAATTGTCCATATTGTGTATTTACATGTGACTTTCTACTGTCTATTTATTTTGCACTTAATCCTACCCTGTAATATGTTAAGGAACTGCTAAGGATACTGGAACAGGAGTTGAAAGAGAGTGACTTCAAAATCCTGCTTTGTCACTAATCATATCTCTTGGCTTTTTGTACATCATCTGAACTTCATGTCTCATTCCATTAAAAAGCAATACTGTTATTATAAATAACATTTAACATTTATTGAGTGTCTAATACATACAGGGCAGTATGTAGTGTGTTTAATGGGTAATATATACTGCTCAAAACAACCTTATGAAAAGGTTTCTATTTTATAACCAAAAAACTGGGGGAAGCCAGAATAAATAGCTTTAAGAAAGAAACAATAAGTGACAAAGCTGGGATACAGGCTCTTTCTGATTCCAATATCCTTGCACTCAACCCATATCCTTCACCTCCTCACTAAATTAAACACAATGCTTTTTAGCCCTTCCTGCTTTATAGTTTTTTAAATGAAGTACAATTACATGATAATACAGAAAATTGTTTTGGAAAGTATAAATAGCTATGTTTTAAATACAAATTCAATAGCAGTTACTCTTCTGTATGTTGGGTTTAAAGAAGCCCCACAACACAGTCTTTTGCTAGAGAATAGTAATAAACTGGCTTCCAAGACACCTATGTGAAGACATTTTCTTGGGAACTGCACAAGAGTCCTGATGTTCCAGAAACTTGAACTATTCAGTATCCGAAGGATCTGCGGACTTAAAATGTCGGCTCATATAAATTAAATTAACAGGAAAAGTTTGGTGCTGTGTAGTGCCTCTGCTTAAGTGGCTGGTAAGGTCTGGCAGTAGTGGGTATTTGTACTCTTGGAACACAATCCCTTTCAGGTTGAGAGTGTGTCCTTGGGATGTGAGGAAGCTTAGATTAAATGGTAATTCACAGCAGTGCTCAGAAAATGCTTTTTTGAATCTAGCAATCACTTATTTGTTGCTTCTACCTAAAATTGCTGTGAACTTTGTTCTTTATTCAGGGATGTGCTTGGAAAGGGTGATAAAGCCAGCTGCCACTTTTCAGGTGAGAAACAAATGTTGAGAAATACTATTGTCCTGAAAAGATCATGCTGAAGGTCATTGCTCTGGACCAGACGCAACAATAGACAGTAGCAGCATGTCCTTCCTGACTGAAAGATAAAGAAGGTTGTACTCTGAGGAGAGGGAGGGAAATACTATATATACATGTGTTTATTATATTTATTATATATAGTACATATATACTATGTATATCATAAAGCAATGATAATATTATATATATGATATATAGTACATATATACGATGTATATCATAAAGCAATACTCTGTAAATGCAATTACTCTGTTAAACTGAATTCTATTGATCCATGCTTGAACGAAGTAAGAACTGAAAATGAGGATCTTATTCACATATATTTGTTGACTTTGAAGGAGGATTGGCCCGCGCCCGAGTCACGGCCATGGCGGCCTCGCTTCTGCTGGGGCAAGATTGAGCCAGGGCACTGAAGATTGTGTTTCTAGAAGCAGGAGCGTTTCGAGGAGTTGCGCCTATAGTTTCTCTCTCTGCAGAATCAGGAAAGAATGAAAAGAGATTGCCAACGGATCCCAAGAAGCAAAGTCCACCAAAAAGCCACCGCCCTTGCTGAGCAATTTGACACCACCACCTACAAGAATCTCAAGCATCATGACTACAGCACATACACCTTCTTAGACCTAAATCTGGACCTCTTGAAGTTCAGGATGCCTCAGCCCTCTTCAGGAAGAGAATCACCTCGCCCCTGAGAGCTCAGTTTAAAGATTAAACTTCCTGTGTCTTTCTGCATTCTTGCCTGCAAAAATAAAATCTGCTCAGCAGTCAAAAAAAAAAAAAAAAAAGGAATTGGAATTAAAAGAGAGAAATGTAACTTTAATAAATGAAGACATCTAGCTGGCAAGATGGATTCTTATGGTTGCAGAAAACCACGTGGTTAAGGATGGCACCATTTGAATTTTCTTTTGTGTAATCTAAAGCAGATTCTACTTCCAGACTATATTTCTGCCCTCCAATCATCTACTTTTGCCAGGGCAGAATTTGTCATATACCATCACATCAGTATTCAAAACTGGAAGCATTTTGTTGGTGACTTAAAACATAACCCCTCTGGACATTTCTACCTCTCACCTACTCACCACTTTCATTCAAATTATGTTATTATTTGTAGAATTGTCCATCTCCTCCAGGTTATTATAAACTTCTGGTAAGAGAGAAAATCTAACTGCCAAGAGCCTTGTACTTGCATGTAATCATTCAGTTCACACAATATTTTGGTATATAATTAAGAGTGTTTGTGTGTGTGTTTCCATGTCAGAAAATTAAGATGAAAAGTTTAGTGATGTCCTCTAGATCACATAGCTAGTGTAGCAGATATAGTAAATGAATCATGAACTGCCTGGCACTAAATTTACATTACTTCCTCTATTCTTCACTGGTAAAAGTATTTTATAGTTATATATCTTTGATTCCCCCCTTTCATTGGCTAAGGTCAAGTCCACAGTTTTTAAAATAATAATTTTAAATAGATGCTAGTTATACACAAATAACTAAAACACTCCCCAGAAATTAACAGAAAATACGGAGGTAGAAAAAGTCATTTTCCTTACATATTTATTACCAAGTTAATTTTTCACAATTTTCTGATTATGTAGAAGGTAAGACAACCATATTTCACAAGTCTAACACTCAGGCATCTGAAATACACTGGGTGACTGAATTAGACCCAAAAGTTCTTACCTATTTGGAATATCAGGTGGCATCTAATTAAGATGAAATTTAATAAAAATTAATGTTAAATACTACACTCTGATTTAAAATATATATATATATCTGCAAGACTTAAAAAGATTTAGGCACACCTAGCCTAAACTTGCTCACTACATTTTAGCATGGGAAACCAAACAAATTATATCCCATTTTTAGCATGATGGTCAGGGTTACTAAGTAAATTAGGAATATTCCATCAGAGGAATTTTGCTTAAGAGAATAAAAGTCTTGGGGAAAATATGATAGTCTTCTTGCAGTATTTTGATATGGTCATGTGGGATAAAAGTTGAACTAATTCTCCTTGTTTTTATAGTTGTAGAATTCAGATCAAAAGGCAGAAACTGGAGTCGAAAATTTCCTCTTACTACATAACCAAGTTGGCCAAAGACAGAATGAAATACCTGAGGAGTATAAATTTCTTCACTCCTTGAATTTTTTATGCAGAAAGTTAAAAACCATTTGTTGGGGATTTTTAAAAAAGGATTTCAGTGTCAGACAGTGCTTATAATCCCATTGAAATCTTGATTATTACTTATGTTCTTCATATTCTTGTAGGAGAGAATTGTTACTGGGACTCTGACAACATTCTCTACCTTCATTCCTGGTTAGGTTATGTTGCCTCACCACACTCTCCCATAGCACAAGCAATCATTGTGTAGCACTTTGCACACATGCTGTTTTCAGAAGTTATTTAGCATGTGTTTTCAAATCCTTTCTTTCACTTTGGACTATGTGCACCATGAGGGTGAGGATCATATCCATCCTGATATTCATGGTTTACCCACCCTTATGGAGGAAGAAGTGGGTCCCTTTTTCAGAAGCCACTTCTAGACATTCTCTGGTAGTGAAAAGGAGTCAAACAACACCATGAAATCTAGGGGATGGGCATGGCCCACCTATCTCATGGGTTATTTTGAATGAACTTTATAAAATTAAAGTCTTTTCCAAAATAGCATTTTACTTTTTTGTACCTAGTTTTCATTCACCTTTGTTAATTATCGGAGAGGTTATTATCCATTCATAAAAGTCTTATTCCTAATTTGAAGAGGTCAGTTTTTCTAGGCTTTTCCCTAACTTCTCGTTAAGCATCTGGGCTAACATGATTTTGAGCTCCCTCCCATAATTGCTAAAAGTCAAGATTTAAATATTTTAGAATCAAGGGGATCACTAAGAACCAACCTTACTTTAAAGGACTAAATTAGGCAGAAATACACATACTTAGGATATAGATATTGACTAAATAAAGGGCAAAGACTATACATTTAAACAAAGAGAGAGAGAGAGACCTGTTATTACCTGATGACCCTGTTAAGTATTATATAAAAGGAAGATGTATTAGCACTGTCACATTGCATATTACTAGACAGCAAGTAAGAAACTAAATCAAATTTATCTTTAGACCTCTGAAGATTAAGGTTAGAGTCCAGAATACTACATCACATTATGACAAATGTTGTATATATCAAAACTCCCATATTCAAATCATTTAAATTGCTTTGAAGAAGGCACATGTTACTCTTAGGGTGATCAATACAAATTTCACAGAAGACTTTACTTAGCAGCTGGAGTGAAATGAGCAGGCGGGGAGGAGTCTTGGCAGGTACTATACCACATCCCATCCCTGAATGCAAACAAAATAGAGGAACTTGGTACTATTCCTTCCAGAGCAGGATAATGCTCTTGCCAAAGAATAATCCCAATTACCTACTTCCCTTCAAGATTTATCCAAAGTTAAGGAATTAAATTCTTTTGAGGATCACTGAACATTTCAGAAGTTAATTTAAACCTCTCTGTATGCACTTCAACTGTGGAACAATCTCAGTTCCCACCATCCTTCTCTTTGAAGCCTTGACAAACTCACCAACATGAAACGATTATGATGATCTCCTTTTGAACATTTTCCTCAGGGTTTTCATCATCTCTGCTGGTTACCTTTCTTTCCTTAGAGCAAATTCAATTTCCTTATGACTCAGCAAGCAACATTGGATCGGCCCTTCATCTCTTTTTTCCTAACACGAATTTAAAACCTTTCTCTTCCAAACGACAAAACTTGGAAAACTCTGCACAGCATCCTTTTTCAAACAATCCTTGATTGATGTGTCATGTTGTGTCACATCACTTTAGGTAACTCCTGTCTCCTTGCATTGTACCCATCAATGAGCAAGTGAGAATGATGGACTGAACTGAACAAGAAACATTAGGATGCAATGTGATGCTTGTTGGACAGGTTTCTTTGAGGTTTTACAACAAATTCTGCTAATGAATACAAATATGAAAACTTCAGATCATGTTTGCAAACCAAATTGGATACAAATAAGGCCAAGTATAAATGATTTAAAGATAAAATGCCTGGGACATGGCGAAAACTCTGGAAACACTTTTGCTGTTCATTTCTTCTGGGTATCTTTGGTGAGGATGATGTGTGTTTATTTTAATTTTTTGTTTCCTTTTATGAATGTTAGAAGTTAGTTACTATAATTAATTCTTTAGAGATTTTTCAGTTGGGGAGATATTTGTCATTAGGTTAGTGTGCAACTTATGCTACAGTGGTCCAAAAACCACAAACAATATACTCCCATCACTGTTCATAGATTTTCCCCTATTTGGTAACACCACTTTAGTATGTAACCACTAATTTAACCTTTTAAAATAGGGTGCTCTTGTCAATTTATAATTTTTGGCACTATGAGGCAGATATTGTCTGGAGTAAAATATGTTTTCTATCAGACATATACCTTCCTATAACACACACAAGTACACATATACATATATATATCTTGTCATTCTAATTAGCAATGGAAATTCCACCAAAGTCCCAAGATACATAGGATTGAGGTTTTAATGGCTTACATAGCCCTAGGAATTTTCTATAGATTAGCTTCATGAGAACTTCTTATTAATTCTTACTGCCAAGTTAACCAAAAAAAAGCCCTACAGGATCAGTTCATGTGTGGGGACATTTCCTGTTGATACAGATGTTCTGTCCTACATTGGGCTAATGTGAGTTTCACAGGTTGGGTCAGGAAAGAAAATATAAAGTCATCTGATTGAATTAAGTATTTGTTTTCAACTGAACTCAGTCAATCTATAGTAAGATTTTAGACATAGACTCTCATGCAAAAATCTCAGAATAAAGGTAGATTTTTCTAATATTATTATTTTTTTACTTGATTGATTAAATTAATAGCTCATGAAGGCATCAAATTTAAGATCCAGTCTGTACTCCTACATGAATCTGAATCATATTTATTAAAATTTCAGTATCTTCTATCTACAGACATGCCACGGTCAGTTTTCAACAATTTTTGTCTAGTACGAACAGGATAAGAAAAAATATCTCTCATTTATATAGCACCTTTCAATCAGAATGTTCTTTTTTTTTTTTTTGCGGTTCGCGAGCCTTTCACTGTTGTGGCCTCTCCCATTGCAGAGCACAGGCTCCGGACTCACAGGCTCAGTGGCCATGGCTTACGGGCTCAGCCACTCCACGGCATGTGGGATCCTCCCAAACCAGGGCACGAACATTGGCAGGCGGACTCTCGACAATTGCGCCACCAGGGAAGCCCCGGAATGTTCTTTGTACACTGTACATAGTTAATTTTTCCTCTCAAAAACACGCATTAAACTCCCACAGATCTATTAGCAATTTCAAGGGCCTATTT